AAAAACATTGCTGCACGTCTCACGTTTGCAAAAGACCACCTGGATGTTCCACAACGCTTCTGGGACAATGTTCTGTGGACAGATGAGACAAAAGTTGAACTCTTAGAAAGAAATGTGCAATGCTATGTTTGGAGGAAAAATAGCACTGCACACCAACACCAAAACCTCATCCCACCCGTATAGCATGGTAGAGGGCGCATCATGGTTTGGAGCTGCCTTGCTGCCTCAGGGCCTGGACAGCTAGTTATCATAGAAGGAACAATGAATTCAAAATTGTATCAAGAAATATTACAGGAGAATGTCAGGGAAGCGGTCACCTGAAGCTTAATAGAAGTTCGGTGATTCAACAAGACAATGACCCAAAACACAGGAGTAAATCAACAACAGAATGGCTAAAACAGAAGAAAATTTCTGTTCTGGGATGGCCAAGTCAGAGTCCAGACCTCAACCCAATTGAGATGCTGTGGCATGACCTGAAGTGAGCTGTTCGCGCAAGGAATCCCAGAAATACCAATGAACTGAAAACAGTTTTGAAAGAAGGAATGGTCTAAAATTCCTCCTTAACGTTCTGCAAGCCTAATCAGCAGCTACAGGAAACCTTTGGTGGAGGTTATTGCTGCTAAAGGAGGTTTTACCAGTTACTAAATACAATGGTTCCCATACGTTTTCCAGCCTGGACTGTGAATGTTTAAACGATGTGTTCAATATTGACATGAAGAAGTATTTTTGTTTGTGTGTTATTAGTTTAAGCAAATTGTGATTGTTTATTATTGTGACTTAGTTGAAGATCAGGCCACATTTTTATGAGTTATTAATGCAGATATCCAGGTGATTCCATAGTGTTCACAAACTTTTGCTTGCAACTGTAGTATTGATGATTTCCCTCTTTCATCTCTGCTAATTTTCTTTGTTTTCCCAGTCTACTAAATCTTTGTTCACTGAAGAACCAGGACCACTTATTAAAACTGACCGTTTCCACGTTGGACTACAGTCGTGATGGTCTGGCCAGGGTCATTCTGTCCAAAATCTTAACTGCAGCTACAGATGTAAGTATTATAGCTGGTGCTGTTATAAACTTGTTTCATAAGGAGTTCGCCGTCCTTATGCAGACTAAATAAGGAAGCTGCCAGTAAAACAATATCATAATACCGGGGGGCCCAACTCCAGTTTTCAGGGGCTGCTTTTATGCAGGTTTTATAGCTCTTTCCAGCAGAAACTTTACCCAATCCAATTAAGCAAGTAATTGCATCAATTACGTGATTAAGGGCTTAGGAGGCAGGCAAACAAGAAACCTTTTGGCCCTATAGGACTGGTGTGGTGCTTCCCTCCTGCAATATTTCATGAATGTCACAAAGAGAAATAGTTGTGTCAAGTGTGAAGCTGTACAGAGTCAAAGCCAGATAATACAACCAAAGCCTTAGTTATGCTTTTAATTGTAAAACAGAGAAAGAAGATTGTAAAATACTGACAAACCCATTATCTCCCTCTTTATTTTTTAACCATGGCTAAGTGCGGCCTTTTGTTTCCCCCTTTGGTGTCAGTCTGCCCTTTGTATTTCCAGACTGTCTACCGCCAAGTAAAGTTCACATACTGGTACTTACCTATATAAGCTTTGCAAAATAAAGAATATACAGTGAAATTAAGTCAGTATTATGTGGTTCTTAAATCTGAAGGTGAATATAACAGCATAGAAATTAAACTGTAGTGTTCTGGCTTTTGTGTTATAAACTGTTATGTGGGTGGCCTGATCTGCATTAGCATGAAGCATTGGCCTTGTTTTCAGGAAGTACTTCTACTTCAGTTCATTGCCATGATTCCCACATGTGACATTCAGGTTAGAAACGCGAAAGGGTGTCTTTCACTGAAGATTGTACTTTTCCATTCTTACTTGAAGTCCCACTTCAGCAGAGTCTACCAGTTCAGACTTGCACTGAGTCAGTCCTCACAGAAACAAGGTCTCCAAAGTACCTCTTGTCCTCTTGTCAGTCCTCTCAACCTCAGGAGGTTGGTGTCCTTCTCATCCACGTTTGCATTACAGAGCTGCAGGCTGTATGCAACCAAGCACCTACGAGTTCTCCTGAGGGCCAACATCGAATTCTTCAGCAACTGGGGAATCGAGCTGCTGGTGACTCAGCTGCATGATAAGAACAAGACCATCTCCATGGAGGCTCTCGACATCCTGGATGAGGCCTGTGAGGACAAGGTAAGCTGCGTCCTTAGGTAGACGTAGGCAAAAAGAGAATAATAATAATTATAATTGCTTACACTTATATAGCGCTTTTCTGGACACTCCACTCAAAGCGCTTTACAGGTAATGGGGACTCCCCTCCACCACCACCACCAATGTGCAGCATCCACCCGGATGATGCGACGGCACCCACAGTGCGTCAGAACGCTCACCACACATCAGCTATCAGTGGGGAGGAGAGCAGAGTAATGAAGCCAATTCATAATCTTCATAGAGAGGATTATTAGGAGGCCATGACTGGTAAGGGCCAATGGGAAATTTGGCCAGGACGCTGGGGTTACACCCCTACTCTTTTCGAGAAGTGCCCTGGGATTTTTAATGACCACAGAGAGTCAGGACCTCGGATTTACGTCTCATCCGAAGGACGGCGCCTGTTTACAGTATAGTGTCCCCGTCACTATACTGGGGCATTAGGACCCACATGGACCACAGGGTGAGCGCCCCCTGCTGGCCCCACTGACACCTCTTCCAGCAGCAACCTTAGTTTTTCCCAGGTGGTCTCCATTCCAGGTACTGACCAGGCTCACACCTGCTTAGCTTCAGTGGGTTGCCAGTTGTGAGTTGCAGGGTGATATGGCTGCTGGCTATAAGAAAAAGTTGTGACTAGGAGTTCCTCAAGGGGCAGGACCTGTTAGGCAGAGCACTGATGGGGTGAGATAGGCCTGAGACGGCAGGAATATCCTCGACTACCTCACTGTTGGGAAGAACTTCAACGTATGGGAGTCTGCTGTTGGCACCAGGGGCCTTGGGAGGGTGACATTGGGAGGAGGGCTATGAAACTTCATGAGTGGTCTTCACCTCCCTATGCTGACACTGGGATAGCAGCTTTGATAAAAGGCTGATTAACAGTGATGTCGTTGTTTCAAACAGGGGCAAAAAGAAAAGTAATTCAAAACAATTTTTTGATGGTTTTCAGCAACTGTAGTGCTTGTCATAATTGCAAGTCTGAGATCAATACAGTAGGTCGGAGTATGCATTTTTCCTGGCTGATTTTTTTGAGTAGAAGAACTAGGCTGCACTATTGGTAGTTTGTATTTGATTATAGTTGCTTTTTATTTTAGTTGTGTATATCTTGACATGTCTTGTGCTTCATTTTTTAGGCCAATCTTCATGCACTAATTCAGATGAAGCCAGCACTGTCCCATTTAGGAGATAAAGGACTGTTGCTTCTTCTACGGTAAGGGATGTAGGAGTGAGAACCACACAAGGATCTTGAGCGATCAGTGTCGTCTCTAGAGAGTGATTGAGATAATGGTCCAGTCTGCCTGCATATTCTCATCCAAACCCATTTGTAATTCAGATTCTGTATTGTGCATTTTCTCGATATTTAAATGTCCTTATTTCTTTTCCTGACACTTTAACACCTCAGTAATTAAAGACAGAATTAGATTTCAAACTTTTAGAAATGTAAGTTTATTCATAAACATCTGGGTAAAGAATCTTTCAGTATAATTAGTTTTAAATCATTTTTTCTAATTAAATGGGTTGTTTTTGATATTTGTATTTTTAAAAATGTATTGATGTATATTGAATATTTTAATACGTGAGTTTAAAAATTGCTAATTGGACAGGTGGGTTAGTTTATCTGTCCATTCCTTTTACAAAGGGGGGTTTCCATTCACTTGGAATGCCAGTAGCTCAGAAACTTTTGCCTAGATGAGATCTATGTCTAGCCAAATGTTCGATGTTTAGATTTTTGTTCTGGCGAAGACTTATGTCTGCAGAACAACCCATTTTGGAGAAGAGGGAGTATGCACTGTGCATCTGGGTTATTCTGCCTTTTTCCTCAATTTCTCGTAAGGAACAGCATCTCTGTAATCAGTGTGCATTTTTTTTCCTCCTTTTTGTAGTTCATTTTCCGTCCACAAGCACAACAGTATTACTAGCTAATTTGAAAACTGTAGGTAAAGCAATTTGGCTTACAGTAATTCTGCAGAATTTACAGTCATATGAAAAATAAATATACATTGAAACGTGACCTATGACTATAATGCTAGCACTCTATATTATGCTTAGAGGGTGCATAGGTATGGCAGTACTCTGCAGTAATTAAAACTGAACTGTAATTTCAATTAGCAGTTTAATACAATTGTAATTATTGTACTCTTAGCTGTCAGTATTCAATTTTTGTATGCAAGTTCATTGCGTCATCAATGTTTCTAAATAATCAGCTGGCATTTCAGCTTTCATGTAGTGGCCCATAGTATGCTATTTCTTTGTAGAAAGCAGCAGAGCCTGGAAAACCCTGGGCTGAATTCCATGTTGTGTGAATGACCAAATTCTTCATTCCATTTAATTCGGCTCTTTCTATTTGCTTTAGGTTTCTTTCCATTCCAAAGGGCTTTTCCTACCTAAATGAAAGGGGATATGTTACCAAACAGCTGGAGAAATGGCAGAAGGTAAGCAATGGGACTGTGCCTGCCTTGCTTATCATAGACTCATAGGCTTTTACTGTGCTTTGCATTTGTTTCCTTATTTGACCTACTAGGGGTCATGAACACTGATGTTCTTGGTGAGAAGGAGCAACTCATAATTTATCAGGCAGCTCAGATGAGATGCACTGATGCTCATGATGGGAATGAGTAAATAATTTAAGAAACTCCATGTGTTCATGAAGACTGACATTTTTGGTGGGAATGATTAAGTAGTAGGTTACAAAGCAGCTCAGTAAGTTCATGAACATTCAGTTGACATTCTTGGTGGAAAAGAATAGTAATAAATTCTGATGATTCTTTAATGAACTCATTTTCTTATTTAAAGGTTTTTTCCTTTGGTGCTGGTGGTCTGTCATTGGATGCTAAGTTATTGTTAATGGGCTTTTTTATTTATGTTTTATCAAATTAAAGCAGCAGGTGATGCTGTTTCATCTTCATTGATGTCATTGCACTGCAAATTTGTGCTTAGTACCATTTTCCAGATGACATAGTTTTCTTGAGTTGAGCCATACTATTTTTGCAGTCATCATGTTCGAAAGTTCAGTCTTAAAATTTTCATGAATGTGCAGATGTTACTTTCCCGAATGCTTAAGCTTAGTTCTCAGATGTCTACTCTCCTCAAGTACAAAGGGCTGTTGGGAACATAAATTTATTCTGAAATGTTTTTAAGGGGAATGTATTGGTAATGGTGTAGAAGTAGGATACTATAATGAAGCATGAAGGTACCCAAATACTTACATTATACGTGTCCTTTAGTCTAGCACTGTACATGAAGTTAAGCTGGAAGCAGATAACTGCACAGAGGACTAATTAGTGGGTAGGAGATCCTTAGTCCATTTTGTCCAGGCTGCCTGTGTTTTGTGGAAGGCCTTTGTTGGGGGCAAATCATTATAGTATATTACTAGGCACAGGCAACATCAGAAGCTGGTCCCTGATTCAACCCAGTGTCCTGCTGTGCATTTGCAACGTGTTTGGATGAGAGATGAAACTGAAGTCCTGCTATCAGAGAATTTAATTGTTGATTCATATCCCTTCAGGTCTGTTTTAGTCGCTTGTGGCCAAAGGATCTCCAAAAAGAATTATTACACATAGATACACATTCCAAACACACGTTTCCAGTGTTTGGAAGGGTCGGCAATATACAATGATCAGAGTTTCCGTTTCATTTGATCTTCTTTTCCCGCAGGAGTACAATTTGAAATATGTAGATCTGATTGAAGAGCAGCTGAACGAAGCACTCACTACATACCGCAAACCAGTTGATGGAGACAACTACGTAAGACGGAGCAACCAAAGGTGAAGCTAAAGTTTCTCAACCAGAACTTCAGTCTTCTTGGCCTTTAAACTTTTCTTGAATTGGCTGAGTGAACTCCTACTTTGATTGCAACTGTCTCAGTCCATCAGTGGTATTTTGAAATGGCACTGCAGGAAGCAAATTTTGAATCATGGAACCTTACTGCTGTTTTGTTTTTTGAGCCAACATGCCATGGTTTTCTAGGAATTGTGAATTATTTGGCAAGTTTAATGTGGATGTCACACAGTGTAAATTTAATCTGTTTATCTATATTATCTGTTTAAAAATAATGATGGCAATGCATTGAATCATAGAAGCAGGTCGTTATTTGACAGTTTCATTTCGTGCTTGAGAGAAATGGGTGAGTTTCTCTTTGGACAGCAGCTGAATCAAACCTAGATTTTATGGACTATACACTCTCTTGTATAAATAACAGCACCAGAGGCTGGATAATTGTTGCCCCATTTTGAATGGATTAGCATAACCTCACTGTGTTTTTTCCTTAAATGTTCTGTTTCCACATGGGCCGGTAAAACATAACATGAATATGATTGGGGAGTCTTTTATTTACATTTCTGCCATTGAAAAGACATTCTTCTTTTTGTGTCTGTCCTCCAGAATGTTCTGCCTGCTGATGAAAAGTAGGATGCTTGTGTATTCTGTCATTAACTGCTCTTTTAAATATCTGTGTTCAATATTGCAGGTTACAGAGGCCAAATGTCTACCTTCCTGTACACTTGTATGGTCAGCTGGTCCATGACAAAACAGGCTGCCATCTGCTTGAGGCTCAGGTACTTGTTGAAGAGGGGGGAGCAGATTAACCTTTGAACCTTTGACTGGAGCTATGCCAGGCATTTGTAGTGCTCTGCACACCTCACAGCAATGTTATTTGACCTAAACAGGTTTATGTCGTGGCTATCTTGATAGAAACATGAGGAGCTTTTTTAAAATCTCTGAAGATATAGACACCACAGGCTTTTGCTGTTTGCTAATAACATGCATGCTCAAAATCAGGAATCATAAGAAATCTTTGGACATTGCAGAATTCAGCTTCTAAGGAAATTCATGAAAACTATTGTTTTTATTTTGGTTCTGTTTTGTTTCTGGCCTTAGTTACATTCTGTCTGCAGTAGATAAATAAGGAACAGAACTCCTGGAAAATATTTCATTTTGGTTGTGTGACTGTGCACTAGGCATAGTTGTAGTCACATAGCTCTGTGGGGTTTCCTTTTATTTTAGACACAGAACCTCTCGATCAATCTTTGTGGAGTGCTCATGCAACCCATGGGCTTATCACAAGACAATGAGACGTTGCCCGTGATGAACTGAGACAAGTTTTTAGTAAATCTGGAGCTTCTGTACCTGCTTTGCAGACCAGAGGAGAGAGAAGACAGTTGGCCATGTCTGATGACATTGTTTTGAAGAATTGCTGCTGCAGAATGTTCTGTTTAATACACTGCGACTGGAGCAAGTGTATAAGTACTTACTTGCATGTCAAACACAAGAGCTGTGAATGAGTTACAGGGGAAACAAGAAATTACTCAAACCAAGTCTTCTAAACAGTGTCAGTGAGGGAGACAGTGTCTCTGTTCTGCTTAACTTGAAAGTCTTCTGCTTTTTGTTCATCCAGTTTGGTTACATTAAACAAATAAGGTTTTCATTCAAGGAAAGGGTGAGCTATGTCATCAGTGGTTTAAAGATCCTGCGTGTTCAACATGTGAGGGCCTGTGTGAGGGCAACACACTTTCTAGGCCTGGGAGATGGGAAATATGTCAAACACACAATGGTCAGTCCTCCTGAGATGCAACAGAAGACCCTGCTGTCTTTAAAGACAAGAGCTAGACCCCCCTCACATGCCTCCTCTAGATTCAAGCTAACTGACAAGAGAAACCAGTAAAGAGGAAAATACTGAAGTCTTTAATGTCTAACTGGTACTGCAGCGTGTCTGTCGTGTGGCGACCTTGTCGGGTGCCCTTCACATCAACCTCGAAGATCATTTTGTAAAAACCCAGGCACTATTTGTACAATGAGGACGTTCCTGCTACCTTGAAATATATTTTAGATATTTCTCAGAAACCTCTGCACAAAGATGGCCGTGATTTAACCATTTGATATTTTTCCCTTTTATTCGCCTCTGTGCCCCAGGTGTTTTAGAAAAGTTCCCTGTGGCCTTGGCTGGGCAGTTGGTGTTGATGTTTATCCAAAGTTTATTTTCTCTTTTCTTCCTTTGCTGTTTTCAGAGTATCGTGCCAGACCTGAGTTACACTGTGCGATCTCCCATGCTGGACAAATGGGAAGGCGTGAAGCATCTCAAAGCAGCGCTTTGGGCCTTGGTAACACTCTTCACCCTGTTATGCTTTAAAGTGAATAGTGATGAATGATAGGGTGTCTCTGGTTTAATGTGCTAGAAATTAAGTGTTTGGTGCATTTGGCAAGGGAAAAACAGCCTTGGTTTGACAGTCGCATTTAAGATAGAAACACCTGTTGTCTTGATCTGGGCAGACAAATTATAGTCAGTCGTGTATCCTCAGATCTACCATTTACTTTTCATACGTATATAGATCATCAGTCGTACTGCAGTAACCCACGTTGTGATCCTGGTTTTAAGACTGAGTAATTTTACATCCCTAAATAAAATATAACAGTGCAAAGTCAATAGATATTCACTCTGTGATTACCTTCAGTGACTGTAAATATTTATATGATGATTTTTTTCCCAACATTGATCTTTTTTGTCGTTACTAATTGCTGATCTGAGCCTGTTTGTTTTCAGGGTAACATTGGCACTTCAAACTGGGGTCTAAATCTCCTTCAGGAGGAGAACGTCGTGCCAGACATTATAGCCCTGGCACAGAACTGTGAAGTTCTCTCCATCCGAGGGTAAGGGATGGAACAAGCAGGCAGTTTTGCAGATAATGTATTTGTTCATAACAAAATGTTACTCTGTGGAGGGGAGGCACTTATTTCCGTAAAGGGTTTTGGGAAACTGGAACAAGCCACCCAGCCATGCTATCAAAGCTGATACCTTAGCTTCTTTTGTGAAACAGCCTGATAAAAAATGAGAATTAATAAACCTGGTTGGCTGTTGCTTGGGAACTGCAGGTTTAATTAGAGTACAGTCCTTCTGAATCAGAATTCACAGACTACCTCTGAACCTGGCTTTGACTCTTACTCCATTAATGTTTACCAATCATAAAATACCCAGTGCACGTAAGGACAGTATACTGTAGTTCTTTTACACCAGTGATTTGCCATCACAGTACACAGGAATTATTTTTTCTGTTAGTTACCTGTATTTGTCTTCCTACTGTTTAAGTAAGCAAGATTTTTCATCCTGCTGCCTTGATGACCTGAACGTTAATGAACTCAGTAATCAGTAATTGACCAGCTGAAGCCTCTGGGAGTTTGTGGTGGTTTGTACCCTGCACTGAAGGAAGCTGTGTTATTACCTGTCATACACAGGCAGAATGCTTGAAATATTTATGATGATGGTGATCTTGATTGGCTGTTTTGTGCCCTCTTCTCCTAGAACCTGCCTGTATGTCCTAGGCCTGATGGCCAAGACCAAGCAGGGCTGTGACATCCTGAAGCAGCACAGGTGGGACGCGGTGCGGCACAGCCGCAGGCAGCTGTGGCCAGTGGTTCCCGACGACGTGGAGACGCTCTGCAGTGAGCTGCCCTCTGTGCCCAGCACGCTCAGCCTCAACTCGGAGTCCACCAGCTCTCGGCACAACAGCGAGAGCGAGTCCACACAGCCCAGTGAGCATCCTTCACCACCTTCTGATGGCCATGCCTTATTGTTAGACAACTGGAAAGTCTTACTGGCAAATAATGAGTCTCGTAAAGCCATTCAGAGATCAACTATCGGTCTCCAGGGTCAGGGTTATAAGTCCCAGCTTATGTTCCAGCATAGCACTGTTAAAGAGCTTATCACTACCCTCTTGTTTTATTTAGGTTTATTGCGTTCGCTTCATTATTTCAGTAGTTTTGTGAAAAGATTTTAAAGTAGGTTACAGAGTAGCTGTTTATCTTCACGTTGATCAATTTTCTTTTGCCCATCTACAGGGAACATAAGAATGGCGGCATTTTCAAGTAAAGCTTGGAACAGTATTTACTCATAAAACTGTTTCTCTGTAAAGTTTTATTCCTCTTCTGTGCTTTAAAACAGACTGCGTTTTGCGGAACCAAACATTGTGTTTATTGCGCAAAGCCCATCTATAGTGTTATTTTGACGTTGTCATCTGTTTTTACATGACATCATGTCTTTTTTTGCATTCAGTTGTAGAAACATGGCATTAATTCATGACAGACAGTAAAAAAAAATAACTTCTCTGATTTCTTACAATGTTTAAGGTTTTGACCTTGTGTTCCTTCTATCTTCAGTTGGTTCATTTTGACCGATACCCGCACTGGCAGCAATGATTATTAGTATTTTTGAAGGTGGTGCTTGTCATTTCAGGTATGTACATTCTGGATGATGACCGCTGTGACGGGACCGGCGAGGACGAGGACCAGCCTCTCTTCATGCGCCCCAAAACGCTGAAGGACCGCAGCCGCTTGACCATCCTGGCCTCCAGCCGCTTCGTCAGGAACCGCTTCATCAACTCTCTCACCCTGCCCAGCAAGAAGCTGCGCAGCAGCAGCGACCCCAAGGGAGGGAAGACACCCACAGAGCCCAAGCCGGGCCTAAGGCGCAACCGCACTGTCACCGAGCCCTCCAGCTACTCGCAGGGCGACGTGTTCACACCCGTGTTCAACGGGAACCGGTTCTCTAAAAGCCCCACGGTGAGCCTGGAGACGTCCTTTGTGGGAAGCAAGGCCTCGGAGGACCAGGGCAGCACGCCCAGCATTGGGGAGCCGGAGCTGAAGCTGCCCCGGGTACTAGGAGGGGGCGGCGAGAACCACCGGGAACACGCCAGCCGGGAAAGGTTGGTGGGGGACGGCACAGCCGGAGCGCAGTTCAAGAGCCGCAGCCAGAGCTTCAACACGGACACCACCACTAGCGGCATCAGCTCCATGAGCTCCAGCCCCTCCCGGGAGACAGTGAGCGGGGTGGAGAGCGGCACCATTGACACTGACTGTGTGAGCCTCAACACGGTGGTGAGCACCAAGACTGTCAAAACTCTCCACTCCCTCACGCCGCAAGCCAACCACCTGCCCCTCTCCAAGTCCAACTCCGTCTCCCTGGTGCCCCCCGGCTCCTCGCACACCCTCCCGCGCCGGGCCCAGTCACTCAAGGCGACCTCGGTCACCACCATCAAGAGCCTTGCTGACTACAATTTCATGTACACCAGCCCCAGGGATGCCTTTGGCTACGCCACCCTCAAGCGGCTCCAGCAGCAGAGGATCCACCCCTCTCTTTCCCACTCCGAGGCGCTGGCGTCTCCGGCCAAGGACGTGCTCTTCACTGACACCATCACCATGAAGACCCGTAGCCTGGACTCCAGACTCACCCCCCGACGGTAGGTTGCTGCCTTCTCGCGATGAGCAGTGCTGCTTAACTGCGCTGCTCCACAGGGCTCCTGCCCTAGAGCAAGATCTCTGGTTATGCCGTGTCATTGTCACCTGAGAAGGGACGGCCACACGGTGAGCTGTGAGCTGGGGCGAGGTGGCGTAAAAAGGCAAAAGGGAGTTTAAGTGGAGAGCTGGATTTAACGAGAGCCAACATTTTTGTATCTATTTTTAAAGCAATCTTAGGTGTTGGGACCAATTCTCCAAGCCATTCTTTGCACTGCTCTCACAATGAATACATTTTCAGGGGAGACTTTGTATGAGAAATTCTCTCGAGAGCGTGTCTCATTGGAGTTTTGATTTTTTCTTTCCAAACCTCTGCAAAAAGTAAAACAGTTGGTACTTTTCCATAAAGTGAGTTTGCATCTCAAAAAGCTCAGGAGCTTCTGTGTTATTTGGTGGATGTTGCCTTGCAAGGCTCTGCAGCTGGGTTTGGCATGTTGGCTCGTAAACCAGCTTCACGTGCTTTGATGTCAAATGCCCTGGTTTATCAGAACACTGAATTACCTTGTCTGGATAAGTAAACATATTTAAGCACCTCGTGTTGGTTTAGAAGACAGTATACTTGTGCCCTTCCCAGCTATGCAGCTTTCCTGGTGTTCCATGGAGTTTGGACCTGTGTGACAAAATTCTTCACTATTTTCCTCTTGCATTTTAATGGAGCTTTTTATTTCAGAGAGGGTGGCTAAATAGGGCCAGAAAGAATGCTCCTTGACACCAATACAGTAGAACCTCTTCATTAAGATCAACTCCCCCTACTGCAGAACCGCAAGCCTGACAGCTTTTTCATGCTCCCAGTGGCAGAGACGGCAAGAAGGGGGGGCACATATGCCGAAGAAGCCCCTCCTGAAAGTAAAAAACGGGTAATCAGAACTGTTTTTTGGTGGTCCCTTCAGGTTCTCACTAAAGAGATTTGGCTGTTCTTCTCAAGGCACAGCCACGAACCAGCGCCGACAATCAAGAAATCTCCTGCCATGGTGCGTTGCTTCTCCGTGGAGTTTTTTTCTGTTTCTTTCTAACCCTTAGAGAAACCTGTTTTAAGGACCGCTCCTTGGGGATATTCTCCCCCTCCCGCCTGCTCCCCATGGCCTCCTGCCTTCCGTTCCTGCAGCATCTCTCCTGCTTCGCAAGACCCATCCCAGAATTCCCTCAAGGCATCGGACCAACCCTAAAGAATTGTGTTTGCGTTTTGCATAGAAAATAGAGCGCTGATCCCTGACAAGGTTTACTGTCAATCTACCACAGCCCAAGCAGAGCCGTTCCAGCTCTTGGTTTGTTAAAAGCAGGGTTTTTGTCGGTAACAAGTCCTAGTACACTACTCACACGAAGCAGACAATTCTCAAGAGGAAAAGCCTGGGATTCGGCTCACTGGGTTTTTAGTATTGTGTTCTTTTAGTTGGGGAGAGTCCAAGAATTAATACTGATAAGCATCTGAAATTGAATACGTTAGTGTGTACATTTTTGTGGAGCGCTCTGTGGTAAGGGGCCTTTTATGACCTGTCTTTTCGACTCTTTCGGCAAGCAATGCTGGAAAGATGGAGAAGGTTTCCAAGGATGGAAATGCCAAAATGCCAATTTCCTACACGCAAATGCCAAAAAAAAAAACGGATAATCGTCGGCTCAAATGAGCCACCACCTGGGATGACGAACAATTAGGGTAGGGTGGGATGGCTAACATTATCCATCTTTTTAACCAGAGGCAAAGCTGCTGTTCTCGTGTGCCTTTTATCGCTCACCAGACGCTTAAGACAAAGCAAAACTTTCATTCTGACTGGGCACTGAGGTTTGTTATAGTAAGTCTTTGCAAAGGGATCTTAGTTTATATTCTTGTACTCACCTCACATTTTCAGTACTGATGTCAAATGCTGGCAGATTTGAATGGTAGTCAAAAACTATTTTTTAAGTTAAAAATTGGTATGGCAATTTACCATAACAATACATGCAAAAATCAAAATTGTGTGTTAATAGTACAACATCTCGCTGTTCTGCATTCTATGGTTATGTTATTTAAAAAGCAAAGTGAAGCAACTGTGTTTTCTTGTGAACAGAGGTGAATGCAAGGATAGGCAATGAAGTCTCTGTAGTTGGCTGTTTTATTTAAAGCAGAAGACAAGCCCCAGAATGTTGCCACCTTCTTCTTATGTTTGCAGCGCTTTTGTTCCGCAGCAGCTGTGGCGTAGAAAGCACTCCTCGACTGCACTCTGACGTGTGGGTTGTCCTTGTGTGCAGGTTCCTGAAGGCCCTCAGCTTTGCCTCTCTGGATAAGGAAGACCTGTTGAGCCCCATCAACCAGAACACTCTGCAGCGCTCCTCCTCAGTGCGCTCCATGGTGTCTAGTGCCACCTACGGCTGTTCGGATGACTACATCGGCCTGGCCCTTCCCATGGACATCAACGAAATGTTCCAGGTACTGTGAACCTTGCGAGTCCCATCAGAGCAGATTCAGTGAGTCCACTGCATGCGCATCTCTTAAGGCTGGGGTAACAACTGTAGTCGTTTTAATTTGAAAAATAACCCCAAGACTCCATGTTGATTAACATGCAGGCTGTGAGCGGAAGGGATAGTGACTCATATACTGTTACTTCACTTGATTTTGAATTCTGGACTTACATATTTTGGGCTGTGCTGTTGAATGGGCATAGTATGTTAAATGTAGTTTAATCCACTTTCATTACCTCTTCTTTCTAATCCCCTCAGCAAGAAAAGGTTTGTGCATTTGCAGTTTCCTAGGAGCTTTTTGTGTAGCAGAGTTTAACAGCTGTCTCTTACTTGCAGATTAAAGAAACTCCGTACTTCCAACAGAAGACCAGTCCTCCACCTGCTGATGAACACTTGGCAAAGTTCGTCTTCAGTGAATCCGATGGTAAAGTACACAACAGCTGCTTCTCTTTTTCAAACAGGCCTTACTTTCTTTCTAAGGAGCCCTGTGAGCATCATGAATTATAAGACGATTCCAACAAATGTCTCCTCAGTCTCCTTTAGTTATATGTGGGGCAGCAGGATTGAAATGCTGGTGTGAATTGTTCAGCAATTGGGTTTCAGTGGCCAATATATACTGAAAAAAGGTTTTTCACGCTGGGAATTGGTACCAATAATGGGGTCTGGTCAGTATGTGAAGAAAAAGTGAGTTTTGAGGTTCGTGGCTCTTCCTCCTGTATCACAAATACTCAAACATCAGACATGCTTGCTTCCAAAGAAACTGTTAATGCATGCTTTAGGTTTTGAGCTTGTTTAATGCATGTTGAGTTTTCTGTGAGTAATTTATACAGTAAACAAATATTTTGTATTGTATAAGATCAGTGAATGATGAATGTTAAGCCAGCTTGCCAGCTTGCTGTCCTGTATGTCGCTTGCTTTACGGCAAACTCCGGAGGTGAACACTAGTGTTGCAAGCCCCTGGCTGTGCGTGGTTGATACTAAGGAGCTGTGTGGTTGTTTCAGGGCCTGGGGAGTCCGGTCGAAATCCCCTGCAGGCGCTTAGGCAGCAGATCAGTATTACAGAGCTGATGAACACAAGCCGCTCTGACCAGGCGCAGCTCCTGAGCAACTCTGAGGACACAGGGCTGCAGGAGCACACGGACAACAACTGCCTTTACTGCGTGGGTGTCCAGGTCCTGGGCTGTCAGGCACACAACCAGATCAACTCCACTTTAAACCGCACAGGTAAGCCTGACTGCAGGTGGGCCGGCATGATGGCGGGAGAATCCTCCCATCAAACCCGGCTTGGTATTGCGGGATAATAGTGCAGCTCTCAAGCAAGCCGGGTGCAGAGACAATCATTTGTTGTTCACAATAAGTTGCTGGTGTTAAAGCAGGGGTTGATTTGCTGTTTCACTTCACTTGGCTCGTACGTACTTGGGCAGCACAAAGAAATCATTAGGAGCAAGCAAAGGCGTTCTTTGCTGTCAAGCCTCTTCACCTGCCAGTCACTTACTGTCATCATCATCTGTCGTTGGAGTGAAGACATGAACTGGCAGCCTTGATCAAGATGGGAACCAGAGTTAGGGAACTAGTTTCAGTAGAGGTTACAGGCTGCCGCGTCCCTGTGAAAGAGCAAATTGGATCACATTGAAATAATAATATAACAGTAACAGATGTTTTAATGCTGTTTATTTTGCTTTAACCATAGTCTGTCACTATAGATGTTTTCATTTAACATATCTGATCTCAAGTAGCCAGTGTTGGGTGGGGGAATGTAAATTTGGTAAATAGTTTTATTTGGAGTGCTTACTTCATACATTTATATTGTTCAAGTTTTAGTAGGAAACTCTTTTTGTTGAAAGTAAACAGCAGATCACCTTTTAATATAGCAAGCCGTGAGATTGTGCACCAGTGCCAGAGATGTTGAACAGCTTCTTTTTCCAACTGCATTTTAGTGTGACTGTATTATTTGAGGTAAAGAAAAAAGTAATAAAGTGTCACCTTGTATTTTGGGAGCTGTCAGATGAGGTCCAGTCTTTCATATGAACGTCTCTTCAACTTTTTCTCTTATCTTTCCTGGTATATCATTATGTTTGTTTTTAAGTGCCTGAAATAACAGTGACCATCACTGGAAATATATGTTGCATTAAACTGCAATTGGTGATCCAGTTTGCCCTTGTAATGTCTTTGTGTCCATGTACCTTCCCCGTCCAGAATTCAATGACATTCCGTATTCAGACTGGTGTGGGCAGACGATCCACAATCACCTGGAGGTGACGCCACAGTCCAAGTTCTCGGGAGTGTCGGGATGCAGCGACGCAGTCTCTCAGGGCTCAGCCAGTAGCACTCGGAGCACGGAGCTGGTCCTGGGTAAGTATGGAAGTCTTGCTCTTTTCAACAGTCTCTGCCAGTCTGAGACAGAGGGCCTTCCGGACTGCTCTGTTTCTCCAGTTTTGAACCCCTAATTGAGCTAACCAATCGCTGAATGACACTTTTGTTTCGGTTGAGTTCCTAAACCGCAGGAGGTGCTACTTTAATGACACTTTGGCTTTTACCTCGTGTTTCATTTGCCAACAGAAACTTTGGCCTTGTGTTTCCTAGGTGGGAAGGCCATATCAGAGGACACACCTGCTTGTCGAGTTCTCCTACGCAAAGAGGTTCTGCGCCTGGTCATTAACCTCAGCAGCTCAGTGGGAACAAAAGGACACGAAACCGGCCTGCTCACGTAAGCAGAATTTGTCTGAAAAATTATTCATGACTCATCTGAGTGGGTCTCAATGCACTTAAGGTCTCAAGAGTGATCAGAGTACATCAAGAGTCCTGACCCTAGTCATATAATCTAAAGGACTTGAAATGCAGTGGTGATACCAGATAAAGTACACTGAAGTATATTTGCACTCGCACCTTCCAGAAAGCAAAAAATGAAGCGCTGGGCGCTTCTCTCCCTAGACAGCAAAAAAATACAGAGGAAACCTTAACCCTTAGAATGTCAGTAGTGAGGGAAAACTCACTCCTGGTAACTGAGGAAAGCAAATGTTTTCACAAGCTCACAATTGCCCTTTAGGCATAACCTCTGCTTAACTGCAATGCAGTACCCTTTAAAACCAGCAGGAGGAGGTATAGGAGCAAGGCATTTTTCCTTCAACTCGCTCTACAATCCATTTGTAGAGATGAGTATTTGTCACTTGTATCTGAGCAGGGATATTTGGTAGTTTATGAAGTATAATAAATATTGTTTAGAAATAAAGGTTCATTGAAAACAGAAAAGGAAAAAAAAGTGCAGTGTTTGTGTACTTTCTGTTCTTATCTGTTCTTAAATGTTGTTAAACTACATGTAGTGGACAAAAAAAAATGGAAGCATTGGTTTACTGTGTTTAGTTGCGCTGATGTAACTGTTTATGTCAGATAATTGTAGCACTGGACTTGCAAATGCCCAATGTGATGTGTTGTTGTACAGTTGTGCCCTTCTCTGTGGAGTTATCAATGGGTTTGATGAAACGGGATGTTTGTGCCTTAGTTACCGTACTTGCCCTTATATGGTCCTGGAGTATGAGACACTGCTGTTCTTGAAATGTTAGCAAATGGAGTTGTCTTGGCTACTGAAACTGCTGGAAAACTTTTTTTTTCTGAGTCATTTTTTCATCCATGCAAGCCGTAATTGTAGGCAACCAAGCCCGGCCACCTTTTTTAATACATGATCCCAACTTTAGTTGCTGTTTATTTAACACATGAGCCACACCTGTGTATAAATCTTTGCTTTCATTATAGTTGGTGACCCTCGTTTACCCAGATGTTTTCATCTCTCCACTCCTGCTGGAGTTTTTGTAAGATTTTGGGGGGAGATTTTTGTAATACGATGTGTACTTTGTGTCAATGTGACATACAGTTTACATTTTGAGAAATTTTTATATTCAAATATTGCAAACTTTCAGATCGAATGTTTTGTTGTTCAGTTATCAAAAGTTTTTCAGAGGTTTAACACTCTTTTGTCGCCGTGCATCTAGAAGCTGTATTAAAACGAGATTCTTTGTCAGGGCTCGTGTGTGTTCTGTTGCCAATATCTGTTTGACCGTGAGCAACCAGAGGAAATCCACACGAACATGGGGAGAACATATAAAATCACCACCCAAGGAGGTGAGTCCAGGCCCGGAGCTTCAAGGCAGAAATCCTGACCACAAGTTTTATTTTTCTTCAGAATCAAGGAGAAGTTTCCCTATGCTTTTGATGACATCTGCCTGTACTCAGAGGTGTCGCACCTGCTGGCTCACTGCATGTTTCGTCTGCCTTCCCGGCGCTTCATACAGGAGCTCTTTCAGGATGTCCAGTTCACCCCGGTAAGCCTGTACCCAGACCGCTGTAATCTTTACACCTAGCTTTTCCTCGTTTCACTGCCACAGGCTGGTGAGAACAACTCTTTCACTCACGCTAATAGTACAGGAGTGCCTCCCTCACATGTGCTACGACTTTAGACATTACACATGACACTAGTGACACTGGCCTGTATCTTGTTGACACTGTACAGTCCCCCGTGACTGTGAATAATGTCCTAATGCTTTTTCTGATGTTCTTCTCTTAAATCACATATTTATAACCATGTCGAGATATGTTCATCATTCAGAATGGATTGATTTTAATATGTAGTGCCTCATAACTGGTCATGTTTTGCACAAATGTTTTGTCTGAAAGACCATAGTTAAACAAAACGCATAAAAAAGTCTAGTTTTAAAGTGATGTATACACAATGTAATGTGATATGTGTGTAAATGTGACAGTCATTCCCCAATCACTGGTCTTCATTTCGGGGCTGGTAGGTTACAATGCTCCAAGAAGATTAAAGTGCAGAAAGTTAGATGAGCAGCTTGCTAGTTCTGCCATTCCACCTCACGGAGAATAGAGTTTTTACTGTTTGTTGAATCAGAGTTTCAAGTAATATGATATTAAGGAGGGGCTTTTTTTCAAAATGGAAATGTCTGTGTGTGACATTTTACAGTAAAAGAGTGATTTGATAGCAAAGATAAAATTTATTCAGTGCTCCTCTGTGGTGTGGTATTTGAAGTTTGATTTAGTATGATTTATTATTTGTAGGGAGAAGATGTGCTTGTCTTTAATCGTCCCAGGTTTGTCAAGTTGTACATCACTAGGATGAGCTAGATAACATTTCATTATAAATGGGGAGACCCTATGCATATGAGAACTGACAAACACAAGGACGCTATTCTAATCATATTGTATCAGATCATATCTAGTAACATACCATCTATAGCAATAGTAGCATGATGCCAGAACCTCAGAGCCTTTTTTGAAGAGTCTCAGAAAGTCTGCTTCTGCAGATTTAAGTTGGGGAGTGTATTCCAAAATAGTTTGGATTGTTCCCAATAGGTTTGGCCCAAAAGAATTAGAAGCTCAAACAACCTCAGTATGTGTTAGTTTTCTTTCCCTTTGGTACCGATATCTTTTCACAGATGTACGAGGAAGCTGAGGCCATCCTAGCCACACCACCAAAGCAAGTCTCTGCGGATCTACAACCCGAATCCTGATCCCTGATCCCTGCTCCTCCTGGCATCCACTTGGAACAGCTGCCCCTGCCCACCTCTCCCATCCCAACCCCCACCCGAAACCTTGGGAATCTCCACAACATGGGGACAAGAGTGGGGAGATAAGGACACTGCCAACAAAGGGGGAGAAGAGGAGAGACAGCCGGTCTACTCTGTGTGAACAAAACAGTTATTCCCAACAGGCATCTGTGGGACTGTTGATCATCGACACAGTGATATTACCAAATGTTGATACTGATCATCACTTGTGAACTGAGCACTGAACACATCTGGTGAATTCTTACAGAAGTAACTGAAATTGCTAGGGGTTTGGAAAAGATACGCTATGATGTTTTGATTTTATTTAAGAGTGCACTCTGTTGTTAGTATGAAATGACCAAGGCATGTTTCTTTTTTTTCGTCCTACGGTTTATTTCCTTGATTTAGAAACACTACTTGGGGTTATGTTTTTTGTAGCCTCTGTCCTAAGACGTTTGAAATAGCCATGATCTGGGAAACTAAAGAAGCTGTATCGGTGCCAAGGAAGAAAAAACACATTTTTGTCTATTTGTCACTTCCAAACTTGCTATCACATTACCTTTGGATAAAATCTTCAGATTTTACCCAAAAGGGTTTTTTGGATCCTTTTAAAATCCTTCAGACACTCATGCATCAATTAATGCCAATTTCCATAAACTTCCCTTTGTCTGAAGCATGGCATTGTTTCATGTTGTTGAAAATGTTTCTTAGATGGCCAGAAAATAATTGCTTCATGCTGAATTGTTTCATTTTTTTCTGAGAACCTATTGTAATTTTCCATCTCGGAACATTTGGTGTTGTTTTCTGGATGCGTAAAGGGCTGTAGCAAAAAGAAAAGGAAATGTACCAAATTCTGACAGCATTTTTGAGCATTTGTAGCCTTTCGCAGTTGGGTTTTGAGTTACTGAAATTGTTTTTAAAGAATGCAGTTTTGCTCTAAAACACAAAATGTGTTAAAATAGAGGAACTCATAGGTCTTCAAATAAGATGAGCTGAAACATTTGATGTATTTAAGTGCCATATTGTATTAAGTGTTCTCTGGACATGGACCATTAGTCCAAAAACAAGAAAGTTTAGATTTAAAGCAGATGTTTCCAGCCATGCCCTTTACAAAGTCATGAAGAAATTGTTGTGATAAGAATTTCAATTGAGCATTGTTTTTTTGTATTCACACGCAAGCTGAAATGATTTATATTTAGAAGTCTGTGTGGATAAGCAGGTGGTACTCATGTTAGGAACAGAAGTAGCTTTTTCATGCAAGCATTATTTAGAACTCTGCATCACCTTGACATAAACTCCGACAGTTAACGAGACGAAAACGGTTATTGTTATAAGAATTGCGGAAGAGTTGGGACTCTTCTCTGTTGGAATGGCTTTCTTAAAAGCAGAAAACTTCCCCCTGGGGATTCAGAGTTTGAAACTGTAAATTAATGGCTATGCAATGTACCCCTTACCTGTACCCACACAGGAATTTAGCTTTTACAGAACTGGGGTTTTCCACATGAATTTTCTTGGCTGGACCACATTATTTTCATTATTAAGGCAGCTTTAATTATTTTGTCTTTTTTAAAGTTTAATCCAAAACAACAAAGAATGATGGATTAGACATTTAATTTATTTAGTATCTAATTAATTTACCGGTACTTCTTGTTCTTTTTAGCATCTACACATTTGTCTGCACAAAACCCTAACCTTGTGGGCTACCTGTCGCGATGTCCACAGTACAAATCGCAATCCACAGTACAAATCATGCACGGTGAAACATTCGGAAGGTTACTCTAAAGGAATGCTTGCCCTGGGAAAAAGGCACCAAAATTTAATTTTCCTTCTCTGTTCGTCAGTATATGGTTCACACTAGCAGTTGGGGATTGCAGAGTGCCCAGCAAGGAAGCAAAGCAGAATGATTCAATCCTTGAACAGGTCTGGAGCAAAACCTGCCATCTGTCATGGTACGTTTAGGTTTGCTTTCTGCTGTTGCCGTAAGAGTGTAGTCTGGACTCTTGTGAGGTATAAGATTACGTGGTGTCTCTGAAAGCCAAGCCTGTCATTTTATCTTACTTTTCGATAGTTACAGATCAGGTGAACTTGGTAAAGATGGCACGAATCACCAACAGCAAACCAGCTGTGCCAAAGCAAAGAGAGTCAGCCACTGTCTCAGCATCCTCAGGTGCTGCCAATAATAGGAAATGCAACACGTGGCATCAATCTTTCATCTAATATGCTAATAGAGTGACATTGCAAAGACAGTGTGGCTTAGCATTCCTAAAGACACCTTTCAGACTGTTAATAGGTTAGCTCAATGCATCACATTAAGTGTTGAGTGTGAGAAAAGGTCAGTTTCTGTACGACATAAAAGTGGAAAGCATCATCACCACCATTTTCTGATGTAGAGCACAATGGCAGAGCAAAGAAGGTTGAAAGAGTGCAAAATGAATCTGTCCAGTGTTTTCCAAGCTGCATAACGGAAAGTTTAATGTAAGCCGTGCTAGCTCTGCAGAGCTAAATGTATATGAACATGTATTTTATAATGTTTCATTATAATGTTAATGAAGAGAAAGTAATGCCTGATGGTGGAGAAATACAAAATCTCATCAGAGCCAAGAGCTTCTTTGAACCAGAGGTTACCAGAAATTTGACAAGCCGCTGAAATCCCAAAAACTGAAAAACGATGTGCAAGACAATGTCATGGTTAACTGTTGTAGGTTGTCCTCCTCCACTAGAACTGGAAAACCTGTGCATTGATTTCTTTAACAAGATATTTTCCCAAGTTGTCTCTGCACGTTATACACTTTGTTTTATAGTCATACCATTTTGTAATTTGCATGCACAAATTGCACGACCAGCCTAATTCACATTCTTACTACACTATTTTTTACTTAAGTAACCTGAAATGTGCCCACAAAAGAATAATATCAATTTAAAACCATTGGTGGGGATAAAAATTGGATTTTTACTATTAAAGCAAAGGTTTTATTGAATGGTAAAAAAATTGCAATCCATAATGTAGCTTTTGGGTGGGGTTGGGATGTTAATTATTTAACTGTTTAATATTTTCAAGCAAATTAAGGCACAATAGCCAAATCCCTTTTTTATCTTTGTTCTAGTAATAAGCTGCTACTTATTTGGATTTCTAGTATTTGTAGGTCACTGAAAGGATGTCAAAACCTGATTTATATTGTATACCTGTATAATAGAAGAGAAGAAAGGAAAACAAAAGCAGAATTATTTATATTTTTTCCTTAAGAAAAATATTTCATGAAGCTGTGTATAATTTAAAGAGGTTTCGCCCAACATGTTGTTCCTTTGTATAGTGTGTACAGTATATGTCTTTGGGCATTACAAACCTCATGAAGCATACAATCTTATCAAAGGGATACATTGTTAATAAAAATATACAGGAACTATTCCAGTGTATTTGTGGTGGCCCTTTCTTTCTGTATGTGTCTGTGAGCTATTACTTTGAACAGAAGGACAGTTACAAATGAGAGGAGGCTATTTTGTCTTTTCAGCCCTTTTAGTTAGTATCCAATTGATCAAAGGACTTCATCCAGTTTCTTGAAACGATCAAGAGTTTCAGCTTCAACAACATGGCTGGACATCTTGTTCCACACTGCCACAACTGTAGGGTAAAGAAGATTTCACTTCTACTTGAAAGCTTGTAAGCTGCATGTCTATGTTGAAGAAATCCTGCATTTTGGATTCCATTAAATGCAATGAACATTTTTAACATGCTGATTATTGCTCTCTGTTCTCACCCCCCAAAAAAAAAAGATTTTGTTGTATTTTCACTAATGCTAAACATGGAAGAGCTTTGATATCAAATTTATGTAGCCGGTATTTTTCTTGACTAATTTTACAGATAAGACCTTAAGGACAGAGTCTTTGCAAGAAAAGCCTCAGCCAGTTTGTCTGGAAGCACTGTTGTACATTAGCTCATTTATTTAAAGGGCTGAATCCCTTTTCTGGTTTGTGATCTGAAGCAAACTGAAAACACAAGGCTGCCCTTGAATGGAATACTAGTCCATTGCAGGTCAACAACCTTGTCCAAAATAAGTGTTGGTTGTGAAACAGTCTTTTGTTTATTTATGCACCACTTGCTACACTATAAAAACTCATGCTGCAACCGACACCCAGCTTAGTTGGCATGTTATGGATTCCACTGTTGAGGCTTTGGTGTGATTGGTGTGTTTTTTTTAATATTGATTTCATTTCTAATAATATGCTTGTCTTGTCAGGTTACTATTGTACTTCCTAAACATGATTTAAACATACTGTGAAGAACACTACAGTGGTTTCACTTTTTTAATTTGATCCCGTGTGCATTTTTATCTAAATACACTGAGGAATGCAAAAAGCAAAACAAAATGACTATTGGTAACAGTAGAATGTTTCATTTTTTTAGTGCTTCTTCATATATGTTGATGTTTGTAAGTGATAGTACTATCTACTGTAGTAAGAAAACTGCAGTTGTCAAATGTCAAGAACTGTGAACATACGATTCTATTTTACCTCTTCCTCCATTAACTTCCTCCATTAATATGTTCCTGTACTTTTTTAATTTCTCTGTATTTTCAACAACAATATATAAACAAATACCCTCCAAGGAAAGCTTTTCATGAATCTGAACCGGCCTTTGTAGACGGATTTTGCTGTGCAGCACCTGCAGGGCAGCTAATAAAACACATATACTGTATTTATGCAAGATCCAGTTAGGAGTTGAGACATATTTTCCCAGAGTTCGATTTGGGATACACAAAGTGTGATGTTCATTGCAGCTCACGGAGTCTTACATAAGCAGGCTTTCGGGATGATTTGAAGCACAGTTGTTCGGGGTGATTGTGGGTGAGCCAATGGGTTGTGGCTGTGTGTAAGTATTTACTTGTGTCTTGTCTGTCATGAAGGAGAAACAAAATTGTTTAGCATCCAGATAACAACACAGTTGTGAAAGATTAATAAAATCTAGTAGGAGCAGACTGGCACAGTACTTGAGCATACAGACTCAGACGATGGTGAACATGATGACGGGAGGAGGGAACGAAGCTTGAGTTCATGTAAATTTAAAAGATAAGTCTTCCCTTTCCTTCAGCATTCTACTGCTTAGCACCCCAATGTGCTTTCTGGCTTGTGGAACAGCAGCAAAGCCATGATGTTATGGGCACAGCAAGAGGGTATTTCTCCACACTCCTCGTTTCTGTAGCTCTTCTGGAACACAAAGCTAAAGCTCAATAAGGGAAGTTCAGGAGGTTCTAGGTGGAATGAAAGCAGTTAAAAACATTGGCTTGGTGCTTGAAGTCCTGATAAAGGCTTCTATGTTTGCTGTTCCGTCATTCTGTGTACCGTCTCAGTTCCTGCTTAAACAGTTTGGTCCCTATAAATATACTTCAGTGAATTTGCTGTTGCATTAGTCACTTCCTTGACAGTGGATATGTGAGTAGCTAGTGTTGTGCAAACACTTCCAAAACAGGTCCTGAGGTTTTGGAAAAAAACCTATAGTGGGCTCACATGTGTAAAGGTACTCTGTAAGATTAGTTCAGGTGGGTAAGGAACAATAGGTTTATTCCATGCTGAAAAGAAAAAAAACACAGCTTTTCGTCCGTGGAGCCTTCTTATTTATTTCAGATTTCTATTTGAGATATATTTGCAAATTTGCTTTCAGCTCTTAAAAGTAGAATGGGATTTGTAATTGGTATCTACCCTGTACTGGTTTCTGAGTTTCGGGATCTTGTCACACCCACTGTGGAAATGTCTCATTACAGTGTCACTCCCACTGTGCGAGTGTCTGGTTACAGTGTCCCTCACAGTTTGGGTTTCAATAGTACTGAATTAGCTCAGCTGCAATGAAAACCAGCAAAGTGTTCCTTCAGGTCCAAGGTCTGGAAATCCTGGAACAAATATGTTAGAAAGACATTCTGACATTAGTCGAAGTTCTGTTTTATATAATGTTTATTACAAGAATTTCTGCACATCTTGAAGAAGAGGAAACGCTTACTTCAACTGGGTGAAAATAAAATGACAAGCTCATTATTTTCACAGTTCTCTCTTCAGTACTGTTGAGTTACAAACGTGAAATTACCCGCCTTTTCAGTCCCTGCATTCGGCTAGCCCGTTTAAGCGTGTTCCTTTTACGTGATGGACTTCACTGTTTGCTCTGTTACTTCTGCTGACCAGAGACTCAGTAGAAATTTACCCACATGTCCCATACTGGTTGTTTGGCTGTCTTTTACACACTCTCTGCAGCCTGGAGCACACTGTGTAGTACGTTACCAATACTTCAGAAATCAGCAGCCAGAGCAAATGACAGACTTTATTAGACAGACGCAGCTGACACAATGGGGCATACAGTTTGTTTTTGGGCCTAAAGGGATCTCTGCAAAGCTGCCTCAGATAAACAATGGTTTTGAAAACAGATTCTGGGAATCAAACAGTAGTGCAAATGTACATCTGCGAACACTGCTTTCTCTCCGGAAGCACTGGGTTTTGAAGAAAGTGTGATTCAAGCACACCTTCACTGAGGTATGTCCCCCGTTGAAATGTAGCCACCAGTGTCATATTTGATCTGGCTTCTGGTTTCTCCAAGTATCTGACTGGTGCGAAGACCACTGTGGAAGCTCTGACCCCCCATATGGGGCATTTCTATGAGGTATGTTAGGTTATTGAAAATCACTAGCTCCCCCTGCCCGGGTGTATTCTCTGAAGTCTGGGCAGGCTCAGTTGTAGTGTCCTGCAGGCAGTAAGAGCACACCGTGTGGGGGCTGGAAGAGAGGGGGCTTTCAAGTTCAGAGGCAGACAGATGCATCAACAGCTTCTCTTCCTGTTTTGTCTCGACAATCTCGATTTTGCAGCATGGGCAATCCTGTGCTGTCAAGCCCTGAAGTTTTTTGGTAGTCTGTGAAAACAAATAGCAAAAGAAAATCCTCTTTAAACTCGTTAAGCTTTTTTTTATAATCAAGATGGGGGAATTGCTATTTAAAATGAGTAACAGAGGTCCTGAGTGACTGAAGCTAGTAAGATATATATTTGGATTGAAGGCTGAGTCATTAGCTTATTCTGACTGGGATTCCCGTGGCAGAAGAACACAACTGACTGAACATTTCCAGGGTTAGGAGGAGCTGGCTTGTCCAGAGTGCACAAAAGGAGGACATTCAGCCCATCTAGTCCGCTGGATATTTACTAAGGAATTGATCCAATGATCTCATTCAACTGTTGCCGGAGCAGCCAGAGTTTCAACATTACCTTCACCGAGAACCACAGGAATGCCCCATTAGGTGCTAACCCTCCTGTACAGGCACAGTTGTGCTCAAAAATGTGTTTTACGCATCAAATATAGGTCAAAATAGGAAGTACTGTTTGAAAGTAGAAATTAAAAGTGGGAATATGTATTAATTACAAACCTCATAGATTGTGTTGTCCCACTGCAGGGCTTTGATGTCCTTTGGTGTGGGCACCCTGAAGAAATCCAGGAATATTTCCATGACCCTGTGGAATGCAGCGCAGAGGTTAGAGCCTGAATGGGCCTGTAGGATTGTTTTTGTGGAGCTCAAGAGGCTGGGCCTACACTTGCAGTCAGAATTAGACAACCTACAATAAGAGGAGGTCATTCTCCCCATCCTGAACTGCAGGAAACCTTTTGGACAGGATAGTATTGGACCTTGTTGGACTTGCACTATATTCTACTGTCGGTTTGGCTTATCAGTCATCCTAACACAGAACTGTCCACACTTCTAACAGAATACCCCAAGACAACTAATAAGCCAGCTATGCTTAATTTGTAACACCTGACAAAATGAGCTTGACAGGATAAATACACTCCACTAGTAGTGTCTTAATAACTTTCAGGGCTTGAGCATGTCTGTGGGGGGACTAGCAGTGATCTTGGCTGAATATTAGTCAGGTTTAAATTGACAGCAGGAGAAAACAGTGTTCATTGCATTCTGAGTTGCTGAAACCCAGCATTCATTCAGGGCAGCCTGGGCCAGGCTAGATTCTCAATGGTGCCTGTCCATTATCCTGGTGTGTTGGAAGAAAACCGCTATGCAAAAGTGCTTAAGAGCTGCATGGCAGGACTCATAATATTCACATCAAATATCGATTGATGGAAAAAAAATGAAACTGCAACAGTTGAAATTTGTACATCTGTAGTCAGGAGAGAAAGATGGCCAAATTGTTTTTAAGGCTCAAGATACAATATCAAAGGTAATTTTCTGTTATCATGTTCATATAACCCACAAGAACTAATTCTGAATACTGCAAGGTTTATTTTTCCATGTGTAATATTGATGACATGCTGTTGATCATGGATACACTGCAAAAGGGTGTTTGGTGGTCCAATCTGCATAGTCAAAAGCCAAGTTGGTGCACTATGAAGCCAAGAGATACCACATTTTGAATTAACATGGTTATAAGGAGAAAGAACATGTTCTTTTCAGCATCGTGACTTACATCTCTTTGTGGGGCCAGAGATAAACACACAACACGACAACAAGCAGAACTAACACCAGCACTGAAGTCAGCAGAATGACCAGGAACTGCACATCTGTTAGAAAAAATGTGATACAAACTTGTGATCAATATACATTCAAAGTTCACTATCCATCACTGTTCCCCAGGCTAAGGGGCTCCCAACTGATACAGCATTCATTTCTTAAAGATCTTAAATGAAAAACAGACAATGTTTTAAATGTATTTAGACAAAAAAAACAGACTACACTTCAACTCCCAGAGTTATCTTAACTTAATGAATTACTTGCTGAAATATTTTAGCACCCCAACTCATTACATTATATACTGCATACAAGCATGAAGCTCCTAGAGTGATTTACACACACCTGCAGTGTATCACACAGCAGAATTACTTTAAATACAGTCCTAACTCTTATTATTCCACTGAGTATCATAACTGACTTGTTTTATTGTGCAGTATCACTGAAATTGTATTGAGAAATTAGGAGGATCATCTCAGTAACCCTTATATCTGTCTGTGAGAGTGGCTGAAGAGCTATAAACATTCGGTTTTGCTCGATTGCGAATTCACTTAGAATTTTTGTGAATTTATTTGATTTTATTTTTGTCCCACAGCCAGCCCTGACTGTATTGGGAACAAAATCTCCCTTGAGAAACTATATTCTCATAATAGGGTAGTCTTATATCCTGTTTGTGTCCTGAGCTCAAACAATGCTATTACCCATTTACTTAACAGCAAACGTGACTGGAACTGGGCATGCTTATAGGATGAGCTATGATAAAAGTCCTACCGCATGATTTTTTTCTGGAATGTATCATAATTCAGATTAATACATCACTCTGTGTGCACATTCCATTTTATAAACAAATGAACTGACGATCAGCATTGGATCAGTACAATATACAGTACTGAGATGGTCTATGACTCAGGCTGTCAAATACTACTTTGTACTTCACACCTTCAATCATTCTGAATAAACAAATACACATGGGTTAACAATAGAGGAAATGACAAATGACCCATCCCACAGTTTACACATTTTTAACAGGTTCTCCTTTGTATGTTGGTGATGCCTGGTGGTTTATATTTAAAAGAGCTGACGTGCCAGTGCCTTTAGTTACACCCGGTGAGACTCACGGTTTCCAGGTGTAATGACAGTTACAACAGCCTGCGGGCCAAGCCCAGCAGCAGTGAAGGCAGCCACTGTAATGGTGTATTCTCTGTTCTCCAAGAGGTCAGGAATAGTATACTCCTTTGTGCTTGCATTAGTAACATTAAAAACCTGTGACCCTGAAAGAAGACAGAAAAGGCTGTAATTATTCAAATGTTTCTGCGGTCAAATTACTTGCATAATACCACTAACACAGCTACTGTATTGTTTACACTTTTGTTGTAAAACCTGGTCTAAACATTTAAAACAGTATTGGTTTGGAAAGCTACAAAATCAACACCTTAGAGCTCTGTCGTATTTGCTGTGATACCTGAACAGGCCTGGAGTACAGCAATATGGCAAGAGTCTGTGTAATAGAATATAATAGGTTTCATTAGGTTTATTAAATATGTTGTTGTATGACAAATAGAACCCTTCAAAATCAAGCTGCTCTCCTGGAAACGATGACTTTCCTAGATTTATTTTTGCTGCAGTGTAAATGTTCTTGGAAGTTTTATCATATATATTTATTGTTCCAATAATAGATTTTAAATTTCTCTTTGATCAGGAAACCAAACCTGTCTGAGGGCCCTTTCTTGTATTGGCATCCCTGTCTTGTAGGTGGATCTGGTACCCTCTGATGAAGCCCGGATGGTAGTCACTGTTTTCAGAGAAGTCCCACATCAGGGTCACAGAGCTGTGGCTCACATAGGTCTGAAGGTTTGATGGCTGCTCTCTGGGGGCTAAGAGACACATACGAGATCTAGCACCTTCGTTCAGCAACACAAAAGCATGGCTTTTACTGAATTGTGCTACTACAGTCTTGTTTTCCATCTGGAAGACACCAGACGATTTCCAATTTCACCGCTTTTCAGCTCATCTTTGGTACCAAAGAATAAGTCACAAGAAGTTTTTTTTGGGAGAGGGACTGGATTTGGAGTTTGGACCACTGGATTTATGATGAACATACTGATTCATCACCTACAGCTCACCCTGCTGTTAGAGCTTAAGGGTCACAGTGTGCAATGGCACTGCAATGTACAGTAGCACAGGACAGCCAGATGTGTCAACTTCAAGTCTCTAAGGCTGGGGTAAGAACAGCAGAAATAAACTGGCTTGAGTATGACATTGCATTCCCTCTGTGCTCCACTCTTACCCAGCTCTGAGGTGTAGCCCATCTTTCTCTCCAGCAGCCAGTATGTGTCAGATGAGCATCCGTAGACTCTGAATGTATAGCGCTGTCCCGCTGTGAACTTCCCTGTTGAACACCATGGAAAGTTAGTGATGCCAGCCAGGTCTAAATCTGAAGCTGGAACTGACAATGTCTCTTATAAATATAAGCCAAACCAAAAAGGGGAAAGGGGAGGCCTTTGAACAAGGACATGGTCTTTTCCACTCTCTCTGACTGTATATCAGAGTTCCAGGGGAAGCAGGGCTAGACAGACATCATACTGCACCTCATTCATGATTTTGAAACCATGACCTTGTCTACTACATGACTTCTGAGTCTTCGTGTTTTGTATGGTACCGCAGATATGAAGTCATAACTGAGCTAATCTTCACAATTATGTAATGAAATGCCCTTTGTAAAAAGATCCTTTGCAGGGAAAAGCACAGAAGAGTTTCCCTGTGTTATAGCATAACATGCTGTTCTTATTAATAGCTGCTTCCATTTGTATAGCACCATGTAGAGCATAAGACACCCCCACAGCAAAGGGTGGGTCCAGCACTGTACTCTCATTCTGCCCTGGGTGGACAGCGTGCTCTAGAGGTCTGCGATAGCAGTATGAATCTGGGATCCAGCTGCATAGGCTACACAGTGTTAATGTCATCTTAATAATATCTCCAATATTTATGTATAGCCAATCAACATCTCTGTGTCCTAGAAACCTGGAAACTTCAAAGTTCAGTCTTAGTCAGTCATCGTTAGATCTGGACCATAATTCAAAATCATGCTATTTTTCATTCCTGACAAGGTAAAAGCACTGTATTGCATTAACAGGGGAAGTCAGAATTCTGCTTGCAAGGTATTGTCCAGAACATATTAAATACTGCATTGCAACACTTTTAAAATATTTCATTACCGCATTTTAATACCTGCATAGCAACATTTTTAGAACCATTGCCTTCACTCTCCTTCCAAATCATCAAAACATTGCTTTTTCAAAATAGATTTTTGACACATAAAGACACTACTGACTTTCATTCATAGTATACCTGCCAGATGAAAACAAAAATTGCTGAAACACTGTACAAATGCAAAGGCTAATTCTTTATTGAGCTTTTCTTTGTTCATCCCTTATCAGAAAGCCCCGAACAGGATGCCAGGTACTTTCAGGAAACTCACACAGGGGAGAGGGAGGAATCTACCGGAAGAAGCCCATACAAACACCACAATCTGTGGTGAATCTGCAAACTCCACACAGATGGTGCCTCCACTCCAAAATCGAATCCAGGACCCAAGAGGTGTGAGGCATCTGCTTGCCACCATCCTCTCTTCTTTATAGTGTAACCTTCTCTAAATCAAATGTAACTGATAGGATGTGCATTCCTGTGGAAACTAACCACAGGTGGGCAAATGACAAAGTGACTGAGTGCAATGCTTGAGCAGTACTCATGAAGTCCTTGCAAACTACTTAATGTCAAACGCAACAAGTTATATAACAAAAAGTTATTTGCTGGTACCTGATGAAATTCGGACAAATGTTGTGTTGAAAGGTATTTTTCTCCACTCCAAAGCACAAGGGGTCGCTCCGGGTAGCTCACACCACTCCACAGCATAGCCGCAGTCCACACGGGGGTCTCGCTGCAACTCCATCCAAAACCCCTCAAGACTGCCATGGATTTTCTGGACTTCAGGGTGATTTCCATCTAAAGGGGAACAGTCAGGTTAGCTAAAGAACGTTCTATCATTTAAACAATACATCTGTCATCTGCAGGAATTCTGCAGGAAATCCCAGTGAAGGACCTGGTCTCCAAAGCCCAAAAGATTAAATAGCAGTTATTATTGTTTCCAAAAGTGTGGACCACCTGCAAGCAGTTCATTGTCAGGTTTGTTTTCACTGTTCCTTTTAATTATGTCCTTCCCATCTAATGCAGATGTATGGTTAAATCTGTCAGCTCCTTCTTTGTTAACTGCTTGTTACCAAGAGTGGAACACCTGCAGAAATAATGAATGTGTGTGCTGTTTTTTTCAATAAAACAAAATAAAACAAATCATTTTCTCTACTGTATGGTTATCTTCAACTACAGAATAAAACATTTGTCTCTAAATCATTATCGGTATGTGAACCAACTCTTGTGCATCCTTTCAGATGGGACAGAAGCAGGACAAAGTGAGCCGACTCTGATTCCAAATCAGCCCTGTTAACACAAGAACCCACCTCTCCAACTGGCAGCTGGGATGATGAGCCGAGACACAGGCGAAGAGCCGGCAGCGTTGCTGGCCCTCACGGTTATGGTACAGTTGTCTTTGTTGATGGCAATCTCCTTCTGGGTCACCTCACTGCTGACCACTTCCTGTTCATTCCTCCCTGAGACTTCCCAGGTAATACTGTAGCTACGAATGGATCCCCTGGACTCAGAGCTGACAGGATACTGAAAGAATACATTTAGAGCGATTAGGAAGGCATTGTCATGAAGACAAACAGATATTCCTTCTGGCTCCTCCAGTAGCCAAAGAACCTTTTTGTGTTGTTTTTGAAGGCCCATGCTTGTCACAGTGGCTTGGGGGGTAGAGCTGCAGCCACCAGGGTCCTGCACTCAGGATTCCTCCCACATCCCAAAGACATACAATCTAGACTGAGTCTTACCCAGGTGACTGCAGGCCAAATTATGTTTCAAAAATCAACAGGCAAGGACGAGACCCCTTGCAGAAGATGAAATGACTGTTTAGGTAAGGGGAAGCTTACCTTCTTCCACAGAACAGTGACGTTTCGACCGTGCTGACCATCTTTGATGTCCCTCCAGAGATCAGGCGCAACCGAAGGACCTGAAAGGAAGAAGGGCTGACAGGTTCAGAATTCAGTACTGACTTTTCAAAGCCAAAATCTATCTGATTCCAGCAAAGCTTAAAGAACAGACCTTAAGTACCTTTGCAGGCAGAAATGGAATTGGATTGACTCAGGATGCACACCAGTTGTAGAAACAATCCTGGAGTGACTAGGGCTGGTCAATTCAAGTGTGGTTTCATGATTGGATGGAAGTGCGTTGTTCTTATCAAAATCCAATTTGGGTATTAGATGAGAGGATAGATGATGGTTGAAAAAATAAAACTTCTGAATCAATTCCTGCAGATGCCTAATCCTGAGAATCTCGTGTGATTCAGTAGGAGGAGAAGCAACATAGCCAGCCTACCAGTACAGCTAGAATTTGGATACAAGTGAGAAATTCTGAGCAAGTAAGTAGGCAAGGATGTCTACTGTATATATATTCTTTCTGGAACATCAATAACTGTGAAGATGGCTCAGTCTTCAGCACCATCCAGTGGACTTCACTGGCATGTTGTGTATAATACTGTGACAAGCAATACTACTACGACATCATAGGCATGCAGTTATTTGTAACAAAAGAGTCAAACTCCAGGTCTAAAATGATACCATGAAGGACCTGAGAGCTGACAAGGACATTTTGATCACGGTTTTCCATTGGGTAGAAGAAGGACGCATGTAGCAAACAGAAAAAGCTTGACATTTGCTGTGTTAGCAATTCACCAGTGGCAGATGCACTGATGTTTTTGGTAATTTTTGGATTCATATCTTGTCTAGGAACAACAGGGAGACAGATTTGTGCTGTCCGACAGTTCTGTATGTCAGACTGTCAGTTACATGCATTTTTACTATTAAACAAGGTGGTGCTCTTTGCATAAATATTAATATATCACTCTTAATTCAGACTTACGAACAGCTTCAGTTTGGAAGTCCTGAGGCTCACTCCATTCACTCCACTTCCAGAAGTGCTCTGAGGCAGCACATCGGACTCGCGCCTTGTGCCTTGTGTAGGGATGCAGTCCATCGACTGAGACTTCATAAGTACCAAGATGCTTTCCACCTAGGGTGTGATTCTTCAGCATCAGAAAGAGAGAATGATTAAATATACAAAGTATCCTTAAAAACATACTGACTTTGAATAATTCCTCATGACAACAACTGGAAATTCTATTACATCACATTTTATAGACTAATTTACAAAGCCTCCCATCCTTAAAATAAATCTTTGTTCTGGCATGCTGAGTGAATGCAATGTTCTGACATGCAGTTTTTATGTGAGAGCACTTTTATTTTCCAGTCATTTCTGGGAATGAAAAGGTAGGAGGGGAAAATTACTCCCAGCCAAGAAACCCTACATTATCTCTTCCCCAGGTTCTTAGCAGTGGAACTGTTGAATGTGGTTGTGTTTGTTTTTTTCCTTTTATAAAACTGGGTCATGACAGGAAACAGGCTGTAATGTTCAGTGCACACACCTGGTAATCTAAATGAACAAACTCAAATGCAACACAAACACACACTAGGGTGTGGCTCGTCCTGGTGAAGAAAAACACATACCGTTGGAATATCTCCATTGTTTGTTATGACTTGACAAAGAAGCTCAAAAGCAGAGAAATTGCCTTCCAGTGTCCAAGAAATGTTCACAGATCTAGGTCCGGAAGTGGTTGACTGTATCACTGGGGGCTTGGGAAAAACTGTCAGGGTGAAAAAGAAGTTATTCACTCACATTACAAGGAGCATTTTTTATTTTAAATAACAAAGTTCATCGATACTGCCAGTATCTTTTTATCGTCATCATCTCTGTGCTCATGTTGGCAAAGAAAGAAGAACCTAAGATTTACCAAATGTAAGAGGTAAAAAGAGGTTTAAAAAATATTTAAATAAGATAAATATAAAAGTATTTATATATATTATATATATTGCTTAAAAGATGTGTCCATTGAGGACAGCTTACACTGCTTGCAAAGTTTAACATTAAAGGGGTAAAACAGTTTGAATAAAAAACCATAAATAGTAACATGGAAATGCAAAGCTCCCCAGGCAATACAGCCAGGATTGTTCACATTCTGGTTCCTGCTCAGCTAACATGGCATTACTAACTCTTTAATGCGCCTTGCCACAGCGCAGAACAAGCCATGGGTATGGCAATGAGGCAGTAACATTCAGCTGATTCTCCGTTCTTCGCAGCTTCAAAGAGTCTTGCGTCTTTGCATTCACACTACTGAGAATCACAATACACCACACAGACAAGACTTCTGTGTCAACGCACTGGGGTAACTGAGTACACCATGTCTGGTTTTGAAAAGGTCTGGGACTAAAATATTCAAAGGTAGTGCCAGGCACTCATGCTGTGACTGTCATCCAAACAGCAAAGATGCCAGATATGTCTCCTGCAATCAGGCCACAAAGAGGAAATAAAACAGATTCCTTCTGTTGCAGCATGGCAAAGGGACCAGACTGTGCGCATACTTTGTTGAACTCTATAAAAAATCATGAAACATTCACATTACACTTACAGTAGTAGCCAATACAAGCATCTTCATGTTTTGGGGTTGTTATGGAGTGAATAGGTATTATTTCTGAATTTGCAAAAGTGCCCCTTTAGGAAAGATGAGACGTCACTGTGGACAGAGTGCCTTGGAGTGCAAGAAGAGCAAAGAACTGGATATATTCACCTATGTGAGTGATGTCCACGGTCAGATTTACAGACTCTACACCCAGCCTGTTTTTCACTTTTACTGTGGTGTTGTACCGCTGTTGCCCAGGAACAATCTTGAAGGCACAGTAGGAGTTGCCGGAGCACGCAACTTCACCTTCTGGCAAAGGCCTGCATACACCCAAACGAATACAGAAATTAATTAATACTAAATAAATATATCTATTTAACAGGTAGTCTGAAGGGAGCATGTACCACTGAGACATAACCAGGCAGCTGCAAAATGTCACATAAGGATTGAGTCCTTTTGTATTTAATGACAGCAGGTTGATGTGGAATACTCTGGTTCTCCGATCTCTTCCGTTTCTCATTACAATCAAGCAAATTGTTTTTTGTAATTAGATCTTGCTTGTTCGCTCAAGCATTGCTTTGTTTTGATTGTTCTGTTAACTCAAACATTGCACATAAAACTCATCTGTAGATTTTTCATCCACTGCATCTTTGTGATCAGCCCTCACAAAGTTGTTAATTTAGGATACATGAAAACAATGTCAAATGACCCCTTCAGCCCGGTTGTTAACTTGTGAGGTCTTTTCCACAAAAACGGCCAGGACATTTCTTTCCTTTACTGCTAACTCTCTTGGTGAAGCTGTACACAAATTCCTGCGCTGAATCTACTAGCAAAGCATTTCCATCGATATCCCTTCATTGCTATGTCTTGAGTTTAATTCAATGTTTGTGGCCTTTTTAAAACCCTCTCAGATTCTGGAATACTTCAGTGAAAGCTTTCTGAGCTATGTTCTGCTCCAAACCTATTAGAAACAGATCTGTTATAATGACACTGGCTAAAGGTGACCAAACCAGGCTGCCCCAGTGTGCTCTGCACCTGAATGTAAGAGGAATCGTTCAGAGGGAAGCCTGCACAATCCTTAATATGCCCATGCTAGTATACAGATTGTAAGAGGGATCCAATTTAATTCAAATCTCTAGAGTTCAATGTAACTTTAAAAGCAGTTTCTATAACTCGATATCCTGCAATTGCTTTTAAAAACCACCTCTTGTTTTAAACACATTCTTGTTTTCTCGTCATTCACGTTATCCACATTGTGTGACTAGTTCTGGATTTCCTTTGCTGCCTGCCCAGCATTAACAATTCAGGCAGTCATCGGTAAGTCTGACACTCACACTCACCCTGTGATAAGGCTGTACTTCTGTTTCCTTCTAAGAGACAGGTTGTCTTTCCCTGGGTGCCATGTACAATTCACTGTCTCTAGGTCTCTCGTTTCACATCTTACATTTTGGGGTTTTTCTGGCGGAACTGTAAGAGAAGGCATGTCAGCACTTCAATGCATTTTTAAATTAAATCACCTCTTATGCAGCTGAAGGGCAGTTCAGTTTAAAACTTGTGAAATTTCCTTCCGTTCTGAGATTTTGCCTATTTGTCTGTATTAACAATGGCAATAAATATACTGTATATAGATATACTTACAACTCACAAAGATGACAACATGATGTTCGTTGCACGTCACAAAAATTCCATTTTTGCCTGTCAGAGGGAGATTTTCCACTTTGATTGCTTTAGTTCTGTTGCTGATAGGAAGCACAGGGTATTCTTTATGATTGTACTTCATTGTAGTGACATATGCTCCCTTGCTTGGTATGCAGCAGAAATATGCAGTTGATCCCTCCTTCAAGACTTCCTGATATGGAAATATTTCAGGTTCATCACCTTGGTGTTGTCCTTTGGAAAAGGAAAGGAGAAAAACAGACAAAAACCTTACTGGAAAGTGTGAGAATGGTGTGAAACCCCATGAGATTTGGTACCACTACTAGCAATATCATCCGTGAAAAATATTTCCCTGTTCACAGTTCCCGCTTCTGGCTGGCTGGATAGGTTCCTTGGGCAACAGTTAGACATTAATACTGTGTTGCAGTGTTAGATATAATTTAGAACAAGAAGGTACTCATTAATAGATTAACTACTGATGAAGACTCCCTTCCACCTACAGAACGAGGCTCCCTTCCTTTTCCTTCACCTTAGGCCTGTGTGTTTTTTTCGATACCCATTGTTCTAATTTACATTTGGTGTTCTTTTACTAGCAATAGTTAGTCACGAATAACAGCTGGATAAATTCTGTATTCCCTGAAAACATCTACAGTAGCATAAAACACATTAATACACACAATACAAGATTATACAGTGCACAGTGAAGTTTGATTGGCATCTTATTATCTCATGCTGAAAAAAAGAAGAAAGAGAACACAACGTTTCGGCCGTGGAGCCTTCTTCAGGTGTGAGAGAGACAGGGCAGTAGGCAAAGGTAAAGTAGCGGGAG